CGGGGCAAGGCTGCTCCACCTTGCATGTTGTCACACGGGTTTGCCCCCCGTCCCCCCACTTTGCCTCGCCAGGTCATTTTTACTGCTCGCTTCACTACCCCACCCCCCCCAGTATGGACCTGCCCCAGGACGAGCACCCAGAGCTGCCCAGTGGGGTAAGTCACCGTAAATCTCCATAGGTGATGGGGGAAAGGCAGAAGGCGGAGGGGGATGCTCGGGCATGGCCCCGCGCTGCATCACCCCGCGCTGGCTCTGCTGTAGGATGACACTGCTGACCACCCACCCTCGGATCCTGGGGGGGGCACCCAGTCCCCTGCAGCCCCCACCAGTAGCCCCCCGGTCAGGGGAAGAGCCTGAGGCAGCAGAGGATGCTGAGGATGCTGGTGATGTGGAGGAGCGTGGTGACGTGGAGGAGCGTGGTGACGTGGAGGAGCGTGGTGACATGGAGGAGCATGGTGACATGGAGGAGAGTGGTGGCATGGAGAAGCATGGTGACGTGGAGAAGCATGGTGATGTGGAGGAGCAGGAGGTGCCGGCACAGCCTGGGGACCATGCGAAGGAGGAGGACGGTGCTGGACCGGAGCCCCGAGGGGTGGCGGTGGAGGGTGAGGAGAGTGGGGGCAGGAGAAAGATCGTCCTCACACCCCTGGAGAAGCTCAAGCTGTCCACGCTGACCCTCACCAGCGAAGCAGAGCCCGAGCCGCCGCCGAAGCCGGCTCGTCTGCGGCTCCGAGCGGCGCCTGAGGCCCTCCCTGCCCTGTGGCGGGAACACAGCGCCTGGGAGGAGGAGGAGGAGGAAATGGCCATGGAGGAAGGTAGGTGGCTACGAGCTGGAGTCTCCGGCCGAGCAGGGCTGTGAGTCCCTCTGGTGCCCTGACGTGCCTCATGTCCTGCTCCTGAGGCACCTGCCCAAAATGGCTCTTTTCTTACAGCAGCTTTGGAGGAGAGTGACAGCGAGGAAGAGAAGGAGGAGGAGGAGGATGAAGGCACAGACTTTGGCATCATGGCAGAGTTGGTGAGTGCTTTCCCTGGGCAGTGGTGGCCCCCACCAGCTCTTGCCGGTGTCTCCTCTCACCGAGGCATCGGCTCCGGCTCTGCCAGGGCAGGAGGTGGCCGGCACAGGGACTGACCCCCTCCCTGCCCGCGCCACCGTCCCTTCACAGTGTCTGAACCTGGGGGAAGAGGAGAAATCCCCCACCTGGAAGCGCACGCTGACCCGCCGGGCCAGGGAAGCCCAGATGAATCGGTTCTGCAAAGCCCAGGTAGCCCCATGGGGGACAGCAGCGTCCCCAGCCTGGCGCCGTCCCCCGTCCCCTCCATCCCGCTGCCGGTGGCCACATGCCAGGAGGTGCCGGCCTGCGGGCAAGCACTGCCCTTCCCTTGCAGACCATCCAGAGGCGGCTGGAGGAGATTGAGGTGACGTTCCGGGAGCTGGAGCAGCAGGGCATCAAGCTGGAGAAGTTACTCCGGGATGAGGACGGTAAGGCCAGGGTGGACCGGGATGAGGATGGTAAGGCCACCGTGACCCCCATGGCGGGGGGGATGGTGTCTGCGCCCTGCTCACACACCCCCTCCACCGCCCCGCAGGCGCCTCGACCGACCAGAAGACGCAGTGGATGAACCAACTGCTCTACCTGGTCCAGAAGAAGAACAGCCTGATGACCGAGGAGTCGGACCTCATGATCGCGTAAGGTTTGGGGCGATGCTCCCCGGGCAGTGCGGGGCCTCAGCTCACCCCAGCCCCCCCAAAGCCCAGCACCCAGCACCCCCCTTCCCTCCCCGCAGGGTGCAGGAGCTGAAGCTGGAGGAGCAGCAGTGGTACCTTGACCAGAAGCTCCGGTGCTACCTGAGCAAGGAGGGTGAGTGCCAGCACATGCCGGGGAAGGAGGGGGGGGGGAATCCTCTGCCCACCCAGCCCTCCTCCATCCCCCTACTCCCGCAGAATCCCTGAAGACGCCCGAGCATCGCATGGCCGAGCAGGAGATCCTGGCGCAGCTGGTGGACGTGGTGAACAAGCGCAATGTCCTCATCCACATGCAAGAGGAGAAGCGGCTCAGCGAGCTGCAGGCCTGACCCGTGCGGCCCCGAGACCCGCAGAGGGGATGAAGAGTGGTCCCCACCCCGGCCGAGCATCACCCTGAGCTGCTTCTGAAGGTGGCGATGCCTGAGCTGCCCGCAGGGAGCTGCTGCGGCAAATCCAGGTCCCCGCTTGCCAAAGCCTGCCGTAGAGGGGCCGGACCTGCTGGTGGACGCCCACATGGGGAGACACCGAGGAGCACCCCAGTTTTGGGGTGCAGAAAGGGCGTCCCCGTGCTTGGCTGGATTACCTTTGCCTTGTGCTTGCTTGAAAACAAGATTTGCAGGGGGCTACGAAACACCCCCGGGGTTTGCTACAGGAGGAAGAAGTCCCACAGGGGAATGGGGTCTCACCCAGTGCAGGAGGTCCCACAGCCATCACCCCTTCGAGGGGACACTGCCCGGAGGTTTGGCTGGGGCATCGACAGCGTTTTGTCCGGCAGAGCCCTTTGCGCTGGAGCTGCACCGCTGGCTGCGTGGGGACAGGTTCCTGGCGGGAGAGGGGGCTCCAGCGCC